ACCAAACAAAGGGAGATAATACAATCAAATCAAAAAAGGTTCCAGGAAAAATTTCTATAAATGGGAAAAGGAAACCATGCGTATTTTGCAATAAGGACCACTGGAACAATGAATGTAACATCTATCCCACTCTCAAACTCCGGATGGAACGTTTGAGAGAAATCACTGCATGTTTCAAATGTTTACGAAAAGGACATGCAACAAGTGATTGTAAAAAAGGGAAACCTTTGTGTTTCCATTGTAAAAGTCCACACAATACAGCACTGTGTCCCAACAACTACAAGGAACTCACGCAAGCAGTGGATTCCAACAAAGAAAGGTTGGGTTCAGTCACAATCGCTAACTCCATTACCGAAAAAGGAAATCAATGGAAAAAGCGAACCTTACTGTTATGTAAGGAAATAAATGTAACCAATCCAAATCGCCCAAAAATCCAACAAAAGGCTTTAATTCTATTCGATATTGGTTCTCAATTATCGTTCATATCAAAGGATTTGGCTTATCGATTGAATCTACAAGAAACTAACGAAATGGAAATAAAAATTGCTTCATTTGGTGATAAGACGCCAAAAACGTGTATCACTACTAAAACTGAAATCGGAGTAAAAATTGGAAATAAAGAAATAATCCGATTAGATGTAATAACAGTTAACCACTTGACGAATGAATTGCAAGTAGTTAATCTAAACAAAAAGGAATTGTTGATGATAGACAAACGAAATCAGTTTAGTAATTTCAAAAACAAATGGAAAAAACCGGACATACTCATAGGTGCGGATCACTTCTTCAAGTTTATCCAGTTTGACCAAGCAGAGAACTTAAAATCAGGATTTTCATTGATCCATACAAAGGTTGGACCTATAATAGCTGGAAGTGGGTATATAAATGAAATACACGACAGTATTTCAGAAACCACATCAGTAAGTCCGATTTCTCAAGTCAATGCCGTCAATATTCCAGACTTAGATCACTTTTGGAAACTGGAATTAATGGGTATACAAGACAAAATAAACTCTGACAATGATGAAAAAGCATTGCAGCAATTTAAACAAACTATCACTAGGGACAAGGGAAGATATCAAGTTTGTTGGCCTTGGAAAGATTCAAAGAACAAACTAAGCGATAATTTCGGACTTTGCCTTGGAAGATTAAAGTCGTTAATTAGGAGGCTTCAAATGAAACCTCAATTACTAAGTCGATACAATCAAACTATTGAAGAACAACTCAATTCCAATATAATTGAGAAAGTGTCATCGGAAATGAATGAAGTTGGTATTATTCATTATCTGCCTCATCACGAAGTAATAACACCAAATAAAACCACGACAAATCTGAGGATAGTTTATGATGCATCAGCTCATTGTAAAGGAATGAAAAGTTTAAATGATGTTTTATATCGGGGACCAATAACACTCCCTGATTTGGTTGGAGTTTTGCTACGTTTCCGTACAATGAAAAATGTAATAATAGCAGACGTAGAAAAGGCGTTCTTGCAAATAGAATTGCATCCAACAGATAGAAACTGCACTCGATTTCTTTGGTTGAAAGACATTCGAAGTCCAGTTAACGAAGAAAACGTAAGTTGTTACCGTTTCCAACGAGTTCCATTTGGAATTGTATCATCTCCATTTTTATTGTCCGCTACACTCAATTATCATTTGGAAACTTGTAAAAGCAAAATCGCACTCGAGTTAAGGAAAAATCTCTATGTCGATAACATTATAATACCAACCAAAGGAACCAACGAAGCTCTTTCCAATTATAAGGAAATTAAAATTATATTCAATGAAGCATCAATGAATGTACGGGAATTTCTCTCTAACGACCAAGAAGTCAATGAAAAACTTCCGGTACAAGATCGAGCAGAGGTAAGTTCAATTAAAAAAATTCTAGGTCTCAATTGGTACCACAAACAAGATATCATTCAAATAACGTTAAAACCATGGTTTGGTAAGAAATTAACTAAAAGAATTATATTGCAATTCGTAGCCTCACAATATGACCCACTAGGATTCATAGTTCCTATACTGATAAGATTCAAATTGTTTCTCCAAACTTTGTGGAAAAAGAACCTTTCATGGGATCAAACTATAAGTGAGGAAGATGAAACCACGTGGAAATTACTCACGAACGAATGGCCAAAGAAACTAAAGGATCTACCAAGATTCACAACAAATTGTTCCAAGCAAGTACAATTTCATGTTTTTACTGACGCATCAACTGCTGCATACTCAGCAGCTTTATACATTCGAACTCAAGAAAGAGAAGTATTCTTAGTGTTTGCTAAATCCCGAATTGCGCCAATTAAAGGAATGTCAATACCTCGATTAGAATTACTGGCAATACTCATCGGAGTGAGAATGGTACAATTCGTATTAAAACAAAAAGAGCTTGAGGACGTGATAACAATTTTATGGTCCGATTCTCAATGTGCGCTTCATTGGGTTCACAATAGTTCCCGTTTACTACCAACGTTCATACAAAATAGGGTAGAAGAAATACGAAAGGCGAAAATCCATTTTAGATATATCCCAAGTGAACAAAACCCAGCTGATATAGCTACAAAAGGAATCTCTCCGAATAAACTAAAAGGATATGATCTTTGGTGGAAAGGACCAAAGTGGTTAACAGAAAACGAATCAAAATGGCCACAGTGGAAATACAATTACAATGAGGATTACCAGGATGAAGAAATTGTGGCCCACATCACAGAACCAATTATCATAAACAAACATTTCGGAATCTTAGATGCTAGTCGTTTTAGCAAATGGTCAAGATTAATAAGAACAACTGGTTGGGTTCTGAAATTCATAAGATTAACAATGAAAAGGGAAATTCCTTGGCTAAAGATGGCAACGAAAGAAAAGAATATATTGACAACACAGGATTACGAGTTGTCAGAAATTGTGCTATTCAAACAAGCACAGTCAGAAGGAGTTACCAAAGATGAAATAATCAAATGGAATTTGTTCTATGATAACGAACTATGGAGATACAAAAGCCGCGTAGTTAACTCTGAAATGAAAGAGAGTAACTTACACCCAATATATCTCCCGAGACACAACACCATAACTGAACTCTTTATTCAGCAACGACATGAACAACTGTATCATGCTGGAATTGCTCATACACTCTCAAATCTGAGATCGACGATATGGATCCCAAAAGGTAGAACGGAAGTCAAACGAATCTTGAATAAGTGCATGAAGTGCAGACGCTGGACAACTAAACCATTCAAATTACCAACTATGGCTGATCTTCCAGCATCTCGGACCACAAGATCAAGACCCTTTGCGCGAGTAGGACTAGACTATTTAGGTCCTGTGAATATCAGGAGTGATAATGGGCTAACAAAAAGATGGGTAGCACTATTCACATGTTTCACAACAAGAGCTGTACATCTAGAAGTAGTAGAAACTCTTTCAGCCGAAAGCTTTTTACATGTTTTCAGAAGATTTACAGCAAGACGAGGCTTTCCAGAATTAATCTTAAGCGACAACGCTGGTCAATTCCAGTTAATTTTTAAAATCATTGTGAAACAACAATTAAATGAATTCCTAGCGGAAAGGAAATGATCTGGAAAAATATAATACCAAAGGCGCCTTGGAACGGAGGAGTATATGAGCGACTTATTGGGTTAACAAAAAGGGCAATGAAAAGAGCCATCGGCAGAAAGTTATTATGGGAACGGGAATTGATTACGCTAGTAGCGGAAGTGGAAAGTATTTTGAATACTCGACCACTAACTTACGTAAATTTTGATGATTGTATCATATTGCGTCCAATTGACTTTATACTACCGAATGCGCATCTAATCATGCCTGCTAAAAACAAGAATGAAATGGATGATTTTATCCCTCATAAATTGGATTCGAGAGAAAAACTCATTCAATACTGGTCAAATACACTAAAGGCCCTCGATGCCTTCTGGGAAATATGGAAAGAGGAATATTTAAATACTCTTAAAGAAAGAGCACAAAGGGAACACTCTTCTCCGAGAGATGTAGTAAAAAGAACTCCCCACGAGGGAGAGATTGTGTTACTAAATGAACCAGAAATTCCCCGTGGCATGTGGAAACTAGCCAGAATAAGAGAAATCAAAACAGGAAAGGATGGAGAAGTGAGAAGTGTCTCGATAGAATTACCGAAAGGAAAAATACTCAACAGACCGGTGAATATGTTATACCCACTGGAAGTCAAAGGTGAGGAAATTGACCCTCAACCAACAATGTTTAACAAATCAGTGCAAAATGTCAATGAACAAGAACCAATTGCTCTACGAACTAGAAGCGCTATAAGGCGAAGCAATCAACCAAAGCTGTCCAACGAACTAAAGCATTTAGCTCCTTCGGTCGGGAGTGTCGCGGATTTTAATATCGCGATCTAAAAATATGAGTTGCAAATTGTAGTAAAGATATCTACGTAATTTCCGCAAATAATGCTTATACTTCGGACTCTTTGTTTCCAAATTTATGCTTCTACATATTGAAACAATTTACATCGTTCTTTGTTAGCAATCCTTACAATCATGAGGATATCTACATTGTTCTTTGTTAGCTATCATAATCATGCGGTTATCTAATAAGCTCTTTATTAGCAACTGGTGCCCATGCAAGCACCTCCTCTCCTTTGTTTGGATCATTGTCTAACATCAATGTAGATTTATAACCATACTATTGTCAATTAGATCTGTTTTTAAATCATCCAATCCTCCGAATCAGTTTTATTCAATTGTTGCCCAAATATTTAGCTGGCATCCAACACATCTCCCTGACATCAAACTTCTCCCCCGAATAACAATTTAACCAAATCATAAAGGTTTGTTTCCAAAAACATTTTTTTGCTTCCACTACACCAGTTGTCACCAGTTTTCCATTTCTTGCAGCATGTTAGCGTATTGGCACTATCTTTAAAATTCAAACCATAATAATAAAAAAAAATTCGAACATGAATATAAATGAAACACAAACAAATGAAAACAAAAAATAACAACAACAACATCATAGCTTTTGTTGCTCTCGAGAAAACATACTTGCTAGTCCATTCCAAACAATAGTTTTTGCACGTCCCACAACTTCAACAAATTGCTTGGCTGTTTCCGGTCCAATATCTAGATCCATCCATCTGGAATACCTGAACTGAGGTAGACTATTTTGAATTGGGTATCCTGAAGGAAAAAGAAATTAACAAACTTGATTATAATTGTTGGTGTCAACCGGTTTTAAAAAGAAAAGAGAAATGTCAGCGAGCATAGCAATAAGCGCCAATTTCATGAAAGGTAAATTATAAAAGACACTCAATGAGATTAAACAGTTGAAAGTAATCCAACCGGACATTATTGCGGGTGGAAAACCAGTGACGCTCGAAAGAAACAACGACGCTTAATTAAAAATGGCTGGAATTCCTGCAAAGTTAAGCAAGAAGAAGAAGATCAACGACATGAGACAATAGTTGAAGATAATGGGGGAATTCTGAAATTAATCGAAGATGGCTGAGAAACATTAATATCACTTAAGCTACACATTAATGATATTCAAGCAACGATGCAGTGTCTACAACAACCAATGGAATGAACGACGCGAAATAATTCTGAATCGGATAGAATATCGAGTCAATAAGAGCAAGGATCAACGGACGTCAACTAACTGTTAAATTACCATATCTTGCCCTTAAAAATTTTGATGGGAATCCAAGCAATGGAGAAAATTCTGGAGTGGGTTTGAAGCAGCAGTACATCAACAGAATACGTACAGAAACTGGCATATCTTCTCTCTTGCTTAAGAGGAACCGAATTAAATGCAGTAGAAGTGCACGAAACAACACCAGAAAACTATGAGATGATTTGGAATCATCGAAAGATATGGAAGTCCTTCCATCATTAAACGAACGTTATATCACGAATTAAAATCATTCAAACATAATGATCATGATTTGAGAACAATAGTAGGGATGATTGAAAGAATCTTCAGGCAGCTGACGAATTTAGGTGAAAACTTAGAACAAACGAGTATCGAACTGACTATTGAAGAAAAGTTACCTCTATGGGTACTCGATGAAGTATACAAACGGAAGGAGCTAGACCCAGATTGGTCTGTTGGTAAGTTTGACAATGCTTAGAAGCTATTGTGAAATGAAAAGAAACGATTAACCAAATTCACGGATCAAAGAATACAGATGATGGACGAACAACGTACAACAGAATTCAATTCCATCAACTAAGAAGAACATCAGCAATACAATTTCAAAAAGAAACCACAATTCGAAACATCAATTCCAACAAAAGGTCAAGACCTTGTGCATTTTTTATCGGTGGAAACAATGAAAACAAGCAATTCTTCCTCACTTGAAGTTTTTTCTTTGTTTATATTTAGGAAAAAAAATGGAAATGATATGATTGAGGATAGGGTTGAGTCGTTTTATTGTTAATCAGATTCTTTATTTATATAAAAGAAAAAGAAAAAATAATTTACTAATAAGTCTTGAAACAATAAAGAATAAAAAATACATAACGATTATATCTGAAAGTCTTTCAGTTCTTTGATAAGATTTTAATTAAATTAATTTAATCATTATAATTTACTAATTAATTCAAAATTTTCATTTTCTAACATTTTTAATGCATTCAGCCATCTGATTTTATTCCATCAAACCAGCAGAATAATAACGCTCGTATACTTATGAAATTGTTTTCAATTTGAATTTCAAATTTTATTTATTCTTTTCTATTCTTTTGCTCCTCAATTTCGTATGAATTTTTACAAGCTATTTATAAACAATTATTTTTGACAAGTTCAATATTTCGGTGCAATATTGCTCACTTGAAGTCCACTATTTTCTTTTGTAATAAAGTTGCAATGGATTGATAAATTAATAACCGATAAATTAAAAATATTTAATTTTTTTTGGACAAGAATTTCAAAAATGCTAATTTATGAAGTGCAAGATTTAAATTTTACGAATATAAATATTAAAAACATGAATGGTATAAAAGACTTATTTTCATTTCTAAATTCATTTGTTTTAATAACCATTGCTAGTTGTCGTAAATCGTAATTAAGATGGATGAAAAGAGACGTAAATCATTCGTGAACAAAATGAAGAAGCTAATGTTTTCTCTGAATTGCTAATTTTTCTTCCGTTTTTTCTAAATTTTTTTCCAAACTTTTTCTAAATGTTTTATAATGATTGCACCTATTTTATCGTGAGAAAGAAATTGAGCAAAAAAAAATCATTAAACTCGATTAACAGCAAAATAAACACTTTTTTGTTTAATTCATGTTTTTCCCGAAAACGATTTACCGAATAAGCAAATTTTGACAACTGATTGATTAATCGTTTCTTACTCATTATCTCTAAAATTTTATAAAGAAAAAAAAACATCAGATTTTCCACAAAAATTTATAAGTTGAAGTCGGAAAAAATTTTTACCTATATGAAATATGCCAAAACCTCAACCGTTCCTTTCATTAAAACAATTTATTTTGTCGCATTACTTGTTCCTCTAGCTTTTTCGTCAGTCACAAACTTTTTTCCATTTTCTTCTTCATTTATTTTAATTTTACTCATACCATTTCTCTACAGATATAACAATATCACTAGAAGACATTTCGATAAATTAATGCCACTCTCTGCAAATATAACAATATCACTAGAGGACATTTTGATTAATTCATGTCACTTCTCTGCAAATATAACAATATCACTTGAAGACATTTTGATTAATTCATTAACTCACACCATTTCTCTACAGATATAACAATATCACTAGAAGACATTTCGATTAATTCATGCCATTTCTCTGCAGATATAACAATATCACTTGAAGACATTTTGATTAATTTATGTCACTTCTCTGCAAATATTACAATATCACTAGAAGACATTTCGATTAATTCATGCCGTTTCTCTACTGATAAAACAATGTCATTAGAAGATATTCTGATTAATTCAGTAACTCATACCATTTCTCTGCAGATGAAACAATATCACTAGAAGATATTTTGATTAATTGATTAACTCATACCATTTCTCTACAGATATAACAATATCACTAGAAGACAGTTTTTTTAATTCATGTCACTTTTCCACTGATGTAACAATATCACTAGAAGACATTTTTAATTCATTAACTCGTACCATTTCTCTACAGATATAACAATATCACTAGAAGACATTTTGATTTATTTATTAACTCATACCATTTCTCTACAGATCACTAGAAGACATTTTTAATTCATTAACTCATACCATTTCTCTACAGATATAACAATATCACTAGAAGACATATCGATAAATTAATGCCACTCTCAGCAGATATAATTTTAATTCATGTCATTTCTCCACTGATATAACAATATCACTGGAAGACAATTCGATTAATTCATGTCACTTCTCTGAAATATGACAATATCACTAGAAGATATTTTGATTTAATCATTAACTCATACCATTTCTCTACAGATATAACAATATCACTAGAAGACATTTCGATAAATTAATGCCACTCTCTGCAAATATAACAATATCACTAGAAGACATTTTGATTAATTCATGTCACTTCTCTGAAATATGACAATATCACTAGAAGATATTTTGATTAATTCAATAACTCATGCCATTTCTCTGCAGATATAACAATATCACTAGAAGACATTTCGATTAATTCATGTCATTTCTCCACTGATATAACAATATCATTAGAAGACATTTCTATTAATTCATGCCACTTCTCTACTGATATAACTATATCACTCACAAGAAGATATTTTGATTAATTCATTAACTCATACCATTTCTCCACAGATATAACAATATCACTAGAAGACAGTTTTTTTAATTCATGTCACTTCTCCACTGATATAACAATATCACTAGAAGACATTTCGATAAATTAATGCCACTCTCTGCAAATATAACAATATCACTAGAAGATATTTTGATTATTTCATTAGCTCGTACCATTTCTCTACAGATATAACAATATCACTAGAAGACATTTTGATTTTTTCATTAGCTCATACCATTTCTCTACAGATATAACAATATCACTATTAGACATTTTGACTAATTCATTAACTCGTACCATTTCTCTGCAGATAAAACAATATCACTAGAAGACATTTTAATTACTTCATTTACTAGTACCATTTCTCTGCAGATAAAACAATATCACAAGAAGACATTTTGATTAATTCATTAACTCATACCATTTCTCTACTGATTTAACAATATTACTAGAAAACATTTTGATTTTTTCATTAACTCTTACCATTTTTCTACCTATATAACAAGATCACTAGAAGACATTTTGATTATTTCATTAACTCATACCATTTCTCTGCAGATATAACATTATCACTGGAAGACATTTTGATTAATTCATTATCTCTTACCATTTCTCTGCAAATATAAGAATATCACTCGAAGAAATTTTGATTAATTCATAGACTCATACTTATTCTCCACAGATATAACAATATCATATAAGATATTTTGATTAATTCATTAACTCATACCATTTCCTACAGATAAAACAATATCACTTGAAGACATTTTGATTGTTTCATGTCACTTCTCTGCAAATATAACAATATCATTAGAAGACATTTTGATTAATTCATGTCACTTCTCTGCATATATAACAATATCATTAGAAGACATTTTGACTAATTCATTAACTCGTACCATTTCTCTACTGATTTAACAATATCACTAGAAGACATTTTGATTAATTCATTAACTCATACCATTTCTCTACTGATTTAACAATATTACTAGAAAACATTTTGATTAATTCATTAGCTCATACCATTTCTCTACAGATATAACAATATCAATAGAAGACATTTTGATTAATTCATTAACTCTTACCATTTCTCTACCAATATAACAAGATCACTAGAAGTCATTTTGATTACTTCATTAACTCATATCATTTTTCTTCAGATATAACAGGATCGCTAGAAGATATTTTGATTAATTCATTAACTCTTACCATTTCTCTACCAATATAACAAGATCACTAGAAGACATTTTGATTAATTCATTAACTCTTACCATTTCTCTACCAATATAACAAGTTCACCAGAAGATATTTTGATTAACTCATTAATTCATGCCATTTCTCTGCAAATAAAACAAGATCACTGAAAGATATTTTGATTATTTCATTAGCTCGTACCATTTCTCTACAGATATAACAATATCACCAGAAGACATTTTGATAATTCATGCCATTTCTCTGCAAATATAACAATATCACTAAAAGATATTTTGATTAATTCATGCCATTTTTCTGCAAATATAACAATATCACTAGAGGACATTATGATTTTTTCATTAGCTCATACCATTTCTCTGCAGATAAAACAATATCACAAGAAGACATTTTGATTAATTCATTAACTCATACCATTTCTCTACTGATTTAACAATATTACTAGAAAACATTTTGATTAATTCATTAACTCATACCATTTCTCTTCAGATATATCAATATCACTAGAAGACATTTTGATTAATTCATTAACACATACCATTTCTCTACTGATTTAAAAATATCACTAGAAGACATTTTGATTAATTCATTAACTCATATCATTTTTCTACAGATATAACAGGATCGCTAGAAGATATTTTGATTAATTCATTAACCCATATCATTTTTCTTCAGATATAACAGGATCGCAAGAAGAAATTTTGATTAATTCATTAACTCTTACCATTTTTCTACCTATATAACAAGATCACTAGAAGACATTTTG